AAATGGTATTTGTATTTCCAACTTTTGAAGGAATCGCCATACTGCTTTCCACAATGGTTGTACCATTTTACAGTCCCACCAGCAGTGTATGGGATCATCTTAACAGGTGGTTCTGGCTCAGTCTCTCATGAAGTTCCAGTTAGGGTGGCAGCTGTGATTTCATTCAATTAAGGTTAGGCTGAAGGATCTTGACTGGGGCTAGAGGATCTGCTTCCCTGGAAGTCTTGCTTACTGGCTGTTGGCTGGAGATCACAGATCCTCTCCATAGAACTGCTTGAATGTTTTCATAGTGTTAGTAGCAAACTTTCTGCAGAGGGATTTTAGAGAAGGCTGAAGCCCCAATATCTTTTATGACCCAGACTTTCAAGTTGTACATTGTTGCTTTCACTTTTTTATGTTTATTAGAAGCAAGTCACTAAGTCCAGCCTATACCAGTGGGGGTGGGAATAGGTTTCATGCTTTGAAGGGAATGTCAAATAATTTGTGGTCCTAATTTAAATCACCACACTATTTGTATATATAGATAGTATGTATGTAATACAATGGTATATCTGTATGGACTTTGCATTTCATTGGGTCAGTTGTTTTTTCAGTGGATTGAGATCCATTTATTATTATCTCTTCTAATATTCCCATTATCCCCAGTTTGGCCAGTGAGAACCCCCTTCGGGTTGGCTTTTGCATGCTTTTCATATATTCTTGTCATTCTTTGAACACTTCCTTGCTTGTTGGCACAAGATGTTCAAAACTTTATTTATCTCATAATTTTATTGAAAACTGAGATGTAATTCACATACCGTAATATTTATCTTTGTAAAATGGTTTTTAATATATTTACAGAATTGTGTAACCATTACCACTGTCTAATTTAGAACATTTTCGTTACCCCAAAAGTAACCTCATAAGATTCGTAGGTGATGGGGATTATCTGAACTTGGCTGGTAAACCAAAGGTTCCTGTTCACACTACGTCAGTGATACTGTGGAAGATCCAGGCCTGGCAAGCAGCTTCCATAAAAGTTACAGACAACCTGACTCTGTAGCATAGGGAGTCTACAAATGAATACATAAATGAATCCCTCAAAAGTAACCTCATATCTCTCAATTCTCCCCTCACCCCAAACTCTGACAATCACTAATTTGTCCTTTTTTCTCTGTGTATTTGTCTATCCCAGACATTCCATATAAGTGAAATCATACAATATGTAGTTTTTTGTATCTGGCTTCTTTCACTTAGCATCTTTCCTAGGTTCATCCATGTGGAAGCATGGATCATTGATTTGTGCATTTTATGTCTGAATAATTCTCCATTGTATGGATATATTACATTTTGTTTAGCTATTCATCAATTGTTTCCACTTTTTGACTATTATGAATAATGCTGCTGTTAACATTCATGTATAATTTTTTATGTGGATGTATGTTTTCAGTTCTTTTGGGTGCCAGATTTTTTTTTAAATGACCTTGTATTATGATTTGTGTGAACATTTACAGAGCAAATTGGTTTCCATTCAACAGTTCATACACAATTTGTTTTGTGACATTCATTGTAATCCTCATGATGTAATAGCACTCTTGCCACTTCCTTGTGTTTACAGTTTGCATTCATCCTTCTTTCCTATCCCTCCCTGCCTTCTGAGCTTTATCTCTGGGCAAATGTTGTCCACATCTGGTGTGGTTGATTGTTCTAAGATGTATGTACTTCCCTAGTGTTATTGCCAGACTTACCTTGTATTTTTTTCTGTCCCTGCCTATAAGCGACCATTTCTCCAAGAAGCATTGATTCTTTATAGTAGAGAGTAGGCTGTAGAAGCCAAGGTCTGGACACTAAGTGTGCTCATTATTGGGATATTGTCTTTAGGTCCTCTTAGTGTGTGTGTTTGTAGAAATGCATACATATACATACATGTACATATCATACACATTTACATATACATTTACTTCTATATGCATATAAAGTCACACCAATACCTCCAATTTTAGTCCCGCACAACAAGGTTCATTCTAATTTTCTTGCTTTCTGTATTTATATTTCTCTTCTCCGACTGAGGAACTGCCTTGTAGTATTCTTATTTACTTATTTGATCACTTGCTTTATTAGTAACCAATCTGTCTTCTCTGCTGCAATTCTTTCCCTGCACAAACACTGCCTAACTTTCTTGGGCTTTGACAGCTGCCCTTCTGCTTATCCTGATGAGGGTCTCACTCCCCCTGCTAGGCTGACCCACATGGATACCCTTCTCCCTTATTCAGGCACTTCCATTCTCTTATTCAGGCTCTGCCATCCTCTTTCTTCTTGGGCTCTGATTCCCCGTACCAGGCCAACCCCTACATAAATGCCCTTCTTACTCCATCTGCCATTTATATTTCTACACCCCACTCCAGGCCACCTCTCAACAAGGATACCTTCATTTTCCTGCTTTGACACCTTGTACCATTTGGTCCTGCATTTGACTGCTAATCAGAAGGCTGGGGGTTCAAACCCACCAGCCACTCCTCGTAAGGAAGGTTGGGCAATCACTTCTATAGTGATACTGTATGGGAAACCCAAGGAGGGGTAGCTATGAGTTGGATCTGACTCGACGGCAATGAGGTTTTTTTTTTTAATGAACAATTGCCTCATCCCTCTCTAGCTCTGACATTTCACACCAGGCAGCCTCTCTATGGGGACATCTTCCTCACACAACTTGAGCTGTATCACCCTAAGCCAGACCATGGGCACCCTTCTCACCATGTTTGGGCTCCAGCAGCAGGCCATCTTTCTATGTGGACACCCACCTTAGTTTGTACAAGTTCTGACATCCTGCTCCTGGCCATTGTGGTTCCCTTTCCCTTCTGGCAGAGCTGCTTACCTGGTTCTATTTTAAAATTGAATTGTTTAGGAAGAAAGGGGGAAGAGATCCTTTGTCTTATTCTTGAGATTTTTTTTGGTACACTTCACCATTTATCTTCTTGCTTGTGAATAGTTAAAATCAACTCTCCCTGATTTCCACTCCACAATTTTTTTTTCATAATTTTGCACTTGTGTGTCTGTGTGTTGCTGGGTAGATTGTTTATGGTATTGTACCGGTTAACCTCTGTGCTGCTCTAACAGAAAATATCACCAATGGGATGGCTTTAACAAACAGGAGTCTATTCTCTTATCGTTTGGAAGTTTTAAGTCCAAGTTCAAAGTGCCAAGCTCTAGAGGCTGGGTGAAAGTCCTTCAATCCTGGGCTTCAGCTCTGCCTTCTGCTCCTGGCCCACTGAAGCTGGAGGCTTTTTGTCACTCAGATAGCTGTTGGCTGCTGAGGCTGACAAACCCAAGGTTGACAAGTAAAAAGGCACAGTCCCAATGTTACCAAACAACATGGCAGGCCACTAATTAAAATCCAATTAAAGTCCCAACGTCTGCAGAGCATGGCAGACTGCTGAATGATGACTCGTGTTGGTACAGTATTCAAGCATGCCATAAACTAGAGACTATTCCCAAAGCTGCTTCTTATATATGGGAAGCAGACCACATTCCTAAAGCAGCTACTAAGCTGCTTGTAGTAGATACCCCATGGAGTTGATTGCCAGTCTCATCATGGGGAATAACTGCCAGCCACTCAACTAGGCCCAGCCAAGTTGACACACAATCTTAACTACCACAGATATTTACATAAGTATTTGTTTTTCTCTACCTGTGTAATCTAGAAAAACTTGTGACCCTACCAGGAGGAAATTAATGAATAAGTAAACATTGCCAGTGTCTGGGTCTTTGTAATACACTGTGGTGGTCCTCAAAGGCCTTTACCAAATCCCAGGATTACTGTAAAAATTGACAGTATTTCAGACAGGAGGGACTGTATCTACTCAGGATATAATTTTGTTATTTGGTGTTTCTACTCTTCCTCCTGATTTGTTTTATCATTCTTTTGATAAGATAGGATGATATATTGAAAGCATCAAGCTCATAAAATAAATACATCCAATTAATTTGGAAAATTAATTTTTCTTGTTTCCTTCAAAATAGAATAATAATTCAAATGTAGCAAATACTGATAAAGTAGATCTATCATTTGTTACAAAAGTAATTTTTTATATACTTCATTGTTTGTCAGTTATTCTGTTTTTCATTATATTGCATTAACTTTTATAAAAATTGGAATCAAATCAAATCAATATATCCTTTTATGTAGATAAAGGGACTTATGTCTGTTTCTGTCACCATATTCTAAATGAGTTCCTGTATGAGTTCAAGACATAGACTTTAGGAAGAGTGTATACCAATGTAAAGCTTTTAGATTAATGATATAGGAACTTAAAAGACAAGATTGAAGAAATCACGATTTCTACTTTCAGGTGTTTCTGCCCAGTTTTCCTCCATAGTCAGATGCTTTGGGAGCTGGTGCTGTTGGGAGAACCCCTTGTGGTCATGGCACCGTCACCATCAGAGTCATCAGAAACTGTATTGGCACTTGTTAGGTGAGTGTATTTGGTTTCTGGTTGTGATATATGCAGCACTTTCCTGTCTGTGAAATTTTTCTGCACACATTATTGTATTTGATTCACATACAACAACCCTGTAAGAATATCACCATATTATGGATGAGAAGGTGATTAGGTTTCTTTGAGGGCTGGAACCATGTTTTTGTTGTTCTTAACACTGAGGATATTTATACATTTACATACTGGCACTTGATAAATATTATCTGTGTGAATTGCCAGTGGCCAGTCAAAGGCATATAGGTAGTAAAATGGGAAAGCCAGAATTCTACCCTATCTTCTGCCCCAAACCCAGTGTTCTTTCAGTTTGCCATTCCACATTATGTATTTCTATTTGCTTTTCTAGTTTCCCAAAGTGAGTTTACCATTTATTGAAATAAATTATCCTGTGTGTACAGACTGTATAGATGTTTTATAATTTTTGAGTAGGGACTCTGTGTCCATTGTTTTACATGTTCTTCCTGCTCCACAGCTGTATTTCTCCACTAAAGTACTGCAGTGATTTCCGACCCTATTTCACGATTCATGATAGTGAATTCAAAGAATATACTACTCGTACACAAGCCCCGTGAGTAAACAGAATAACTGTTCTTGCTCAAGTATTCTTTTATGTCCAAAATTAGAATTATTTTGGGAAAATTTTAAAGTTGAATTTAAAATTCAAACTTGTAGGTAGATTAATTTTATAAAGGAAGTTTTGGAGAGCTGCTAATAATTTCAGTTTTCAAGAATTAGTATCTTATTTTCTCTGAGTGATTTTACTTAGTAATTGATACTGTCTTGTCATCAGTAGCCACCCAGCTGAACTTTCCATTCTGTCTTCCTCCCTTACCTCAGAACCCCCTTACTGCATCAATTATATCTTCTCACTTATGTAATTTTCTTTTCTTTCTTCCTCTTCAGTGACTTGGCATATAAATATGAAAAATCTTCCCAGTCTATAATCTTACCTTTCTAATCTAATGTGATAATTTTTCATTATCCTTTTAGCTCTTGCCCTATTGCTCACCTTCTTCTTGTAAGTGAATTTCTAGAACAACAGCAACAACAGAAGTCTCCACTTACTGCTATTCTGGTTGCTTCTTGGTCCACTGGAGATTGACTTCTCATCTCCACTGACAACTTGTCTAAGTTATTAAGACATTTCTCACAGCATGATCCAGTGGGCACACTTTTGTCCTGTTTTTCCTGTCTGCTCTTTCTTGAAACGTTTAAGCTGTTGACCCTTCAGTATCCTTGATACCACCATCTCCTGACCGTCTGGCTGTGTGTCTCAGTCTCTCTTTGTAGACTTCTCTTTCTTTGCCAATTCCTTAAATGTTGGTGTGTTCTGAATTCTGATTTCAGACTGATACTGCTTTCTAAACGGTCTTATTTATACCCATAATTACTGTTAATATCCATATACTGATGATTGAAATATATCATTCTAGGCCAGATCTCTGCAGGGTCCAGACCTATATATCTAATTTATTCAGCACATTGCCACCTGCCCATCTTTTTGATCCCTCACACTGAACATGTCCAGACTGAATTCTTTTTGTCTCCCTCTCTTCTCTCCCCAATCTCCTATCTCTTCTATTGTCATGAGTAGCAATACTTTTCATTTAGCTTACGAGTTGTCATAAATTTCTCTTCCTTAACATGTTCTGCATCATGTTTTACCAAGTTCTGCATGAGTAGCAATACTTTTCATTTAGCTTACGAGTTGTCATAAATTTCTCTTCCTTAACATGTTCTGCATCATGTTTTACCAAGTTCTGTCAACATCCTAAATATCTCTCATAACATTTATGATCTTCTTTCCATAGTTTCCTTTCTAGTAAATGCTTCTGGTTTTTCTTGTATATGCACACTGGCCTTTCCCCAATTTCTTCCCTCCTTGTAGGGTGTCTTCCAGACTTCGCCTAGAGTGATCTTCACGTTTTCATTCACGTGGTGCATTCCTCCACTCAGTTCTTTAGTAGCTTCCTTTTACTTCCAAGTTAACCCCTAAACTGCTTTGTGTATTAACTTGGCTTTTAATGATCTGGACATCTTCCCATCTGCTCTCAATTCTGATTGTTCATCTTTCCTGCTTTGTACTCCAGGAATGCTAAACTATTTGTAGCTCTACAAAGAGACCATGGTCTCATGTCATTGTTTTGTACATACTGTTCATTTCTCCTGTATCACCTTTACCCCCTCCCCCACTATCCACTTGGCAAACAACTTCTCCTTATCTTTCATGACTCACTGCAAAACTGTCCTTTAACCCTCTGGTAGACATAGGTTTTCCTTTGTGGTTATTGTGCTTTTGCCACCACTTTTACTGTCTTCTGATTTCTGGCATCATAATTTGGTATGTATACCCTTCTTTCTAGTCTGTGTGCTCTTGGAAGTATAACGTCTTACCATCTTTATATGGCTAGTGCTAATGGTACATTGTTGTTGTTGTTATGTGCCGTCGAGTCATCTCTGACTCATAGTGACCCCTCCTTGGGTTTCCAAGCGGTATCTCTGCAGAAATAGATTGCCCAACCTTCCTTCCAAGGAGTGGCTGGTGGGTTTGAACCACCAACTTTCTGGTTAGTAGTCTAGTGCCTTTAGCACTACGCCACCAGAGCTCCTAATGGTACATAGTTGATATGTATGTAATTCATTGAGTGAAAAGATTATTTAGTGTTCAATCAAAAGAAATGTGAACTATTCTTCACTAATAGAACATTCGTCTTTTTCTCATTTTGTTTTTGTTTTATCTTATTTTTATATAGGCCCTCAGTCATATTAGGAGTAACCAATCCTTTTTTTGCTAAAACACTCCAGCACTGGCCACACATTATTCGAATAGGAGACCTTAAGCCTGCAGGTACAGTATAAACATGGTATTATGTTTTTAGTGTGTAATGTGGCTGAGCAGGTTGATTTCTTCCTCTTTGTTCTCATCCCTTTGTTCCTTATTAATTATGTTGATGATGACCTTTTAGGCACCTTGAATTAGGGCCTTTGAAGAAGAGTGTAACTACCCACTAAAGTATGCTGCTTCTCGTGTAACCCAGCAGTTCTCCTACCAAAAACTGCATTTATGGTGCTCTGAGTACTGAATGAATTACAGTAAAATGAAACTTCAAAAATTTGAGTTGTTTATATGTGCATTAAATATAAAGCAGGGATTTCCAGCACTACTTTAGTAAAACCTTGTAGAAAGCTCAAATTATTCAAGATTTGGCCAAAATTCTCAGCCAGGTGTGAGAACAAATGTTATATATCTCTGTGACACTGGCATGGGTAAGATTGTACTTTCACAACCATTGTGGCAAATGGTATGGCATTTCCTTAAAAAACTGATAATAGAAATACTGTTTGATCACACCTGTGGCTTCCAGCCAAGCAAAAGACAGGCATAGGAGTTGAACATTTACCTGAGGTAAATACACTCTTTGGAGAGAACAATCATGGGAGGAAGAAGGGCTGTTTATGCACAGGGAGACAGCTCAGGG